ATCCTGATAGTTCAGATCTTGTGTTATTAAGTTATTATTAGTTTGTTCTTTTCCTTTTCCTTTGATATTCAAGTTTTATTACAGATTGACTTTTTAAGACTTCAATGTAGTTTCCTTTATTCCGTAGCAATCAATGAATCACTGCTCATAGTAAAATTGAAATTATTTTTTATTTGATCGATTTTTTTGAATTGAATAATTTTTTTTATTTTAAGAATTTTTAATAAATTTATCCGTTATATGTAACATTTATTCCATGTTGGCTCTTTATAATACGGTTGGTAGTCAAAAGTTAATAATTGTCACAAAAAAAAAAATAAAATAAAATAAATTATCAAAAAAAATAATATAATTATTTTGCAAACGTTTTTTTTTAAGATAAAATTTTTACAGTATCTACCCAAGTGATATAAGCAAATGTCAATGGTCGTATTGTATAAGATTATTAATATAATGACGATAAATGGATTTGTTTGAATAAAATCTTAAATTTAATGCTTATTTGCAATAAAAAAAAATTACCATGTTTTATAAAAGTTTATAGTATATTGTAAACAGTATATAAATATTAAAAAATAATTAAATAAATATTAAAAAATAAATAAATAAATAAAAATAAAATAATAATATATTAATAATAATTTAATAAAATTTTTAGAATTAAAAAATATTTTCAAATGCTTCGAGATATATTTTTTTAATCGTTATTTTTTATTATAAAGTTTTTTTTTTTTCTTTTATAACAAAAAAACCAATTCTTTATACAACTATTCATAATAATTAAAGCAGATAAATTTTATTATAATTATTATTATTTCCATCTTATTAACTATTTTAAACAGTTTTTTATTATTAAAAAAATTTATTTTTTATTTTTTAATTTTAGTATTGTACATAATGTTTAAATTTTTAATTTTTTGAAAAAAAATCTTAATAAAAAAGTTGAAATTTATACAATTAAAATTATATTTTAATTTCAAAACCAAATTTTTAATTTTAATCTCATTATTAATTTGTTGAAATTTATCAAAACAAAAATTCTTTAAAAAAAAATTACAAAAAATCAAAAAGATCGAAATCTATTAAAAGTGGAACTAATATAATTATATTAATTATGTATGTTATTTCCACTTATCCTAGGTTATTCCCACTCATATGACGACGGTGGCTAACTTTTGTCGTCAGACTACATGACGACGGTGGCCAATTTTGTCGTCATACCACATGACGACGGTGGCCAATTTTGTCGTTTCCATCGCTGGGCTATATGGTAAAAAAATATATTTACGCATTTAAGTGATTCGAGGTGCAAGTTATTCGAATGACGAAGATTGTGTTTTCACGTCATTTAAGGAGGCACAGACCACAGAAATATGTGTCGACGCAATGCCATGGCTTGATAACCCATCGTTCGCCCGGAGTTTTGTGTTACATTTATTTATCACGTTTAAATTTAGAATTATAGCAAAATAGAAGTCTAAAAGCAAATCTTATTCCTATATAGCATATGCTTTAAAAAGAAATAATATTATAAAAAGATCTCTTATCGGAACTATTCTAAGGGTATTAAGCTTACTTGTAAGTGTATTCAGCTAACTTGTAAGGGTATTTAGCTAACTTGTAAGGGTATTCAGCTAAGTCTCCCTGGTCATCATAATAATAGTACAAAATATTATAATAACGAAGAAGAGCACCTAATGCTAATACTTCATTCACACTCCAGTCCCGCGCATAAATTTCAACATCGTTGTCGTGACCGCGCAATTTTTTTTTTAATGCAGTGTAATAGAGGCCACCCACACATCCTTCGACATCTTTGTATTGAGAATTATTAAGTGAGCATGTTTGATTTAAATATGATATGAACCTTTCATCTTGAGTCAGCCTCGTCAAAACATTGTCTGTAGGTTCGCGAAACGAGATAATTTTGTCCTGTAACCGATTCTATCGAGAGAAAAAATATGTAAACAAAATAAGATAAAAATCGTTGCAAAATACATAAACAAATATGTGCAGAATGTTACCGTTGATCTAATGAACTCTAAAGCACCTCTCACATTACACATCCCCTTTGATCGTAAAAGAAGTTCAGTGCGGTCTTTGACATCATTCTCAAGTTTCGTAATACGATTCGTTAAATCCAATTTTTCACGTTCTTTTTCACCCATTAAATCTTTCGTTAAATCCAATTTTTCACGTTCATTTTGTTTCATTAAATTCATCACTAAATCCTTCGTTACAGCCTCAAAGAAACTCACGATTTTCGTTGCAGCTTTTGAATCTTTGGGTAATTCGTCATGAATTGGTGAAAGGTCATACGCGCGTATGTTAATGAGAGAGGACGATAATCTACGTTGTTCCTATGTCCTTAGAACTGGAGAAGTTTGTAACCGGGTAGCTATTGACCTGAGGGTTGTCAAGTTCACTGGGATTCTCCTATGCACGTTCCTTGCAAAGATTGTGGTAAGTTAACTTTTTCT